GCTATTCACAACCGTTAAAAATGTATCTATTTGACGGTAAAAAAGAGCTTTGCCGAGTTATGCTATTTTTCTTATAAATTTATCTTTATCCCTCAAAGATAGACTTAAGTTGTTTTATCAAATGTCCAAATGTCCACAGATATGTACTTCTTCCAAAGTTTTTACTGTGACACTACGGAAAACCAAAACAGTTTCCATTTTTTGGGTAATTTCACTTCGCTCGAAAATTATAAAACGGCAACGCCGCTTTCTATTAATTTCTGGCGGAAAAGTTAAGAAACATAACGTTTGCTTACATAAGAACTGTCAAATGATCAGCTGTTCGCCGGTTGGGCAATTTTTTTGATCGATTTTTGCTTTCGATTTGGTTGGTTTTATAATTCTGTATTAAAAATTTATGTAAACATGCTAAGAACCTGGTGCAGCGCCTCATTTAATTTGCTCAAAAGCGCAACGACGTTGCAGCAGCAAGTTCGGGTAAATATTCCCGATAAATTTCATTTAACTTTAATATAGATTTCTCATATTCCCGTCTTGTCCGCTTCTTGACTTGCAGACGACTTTTGTGTTGAAGAGAAAATATGATCCGTTGTTACACAAAATCAATGCAAAACCTAAAAAATTGCGCGCGAAGCATTTTATTTATGAGCTGGTAGAGGATACAAATACTAAACGCCGACCAAATTTGGAAGTTGTTCTGAAAACTTATGTAGAAGGTGTCGGTGATAAAGGCGATGTAGTTTCTGTAAGACCCAATTTCGCTTACAACAAACTTCTGTTGCCTGGATTGGCAGTGTACAAGACAGAAGAAAATATGGCATTGTATGCCAAAACTGAGGAAGACAAGAAAACAGTACGCCATAGTTCAGCCTTTGCACAGCGCGTATGTATTTTACCAAATTGTTTGTTTTTTGTATAAAAATAAATTGTGGTTTCAGACGGTCAATATCATTGAACGATTTACGCTTGCGGTAGTGATGAATAAGGATCAACCTTGGGTTGTTGAGCCATGGCATATAAAAGCATCCCTTCGCAAGGCAGGTATTCATTGTCCAGAAGAATGCATACAAATGCCAGAGGCTCGCATTGAGGGTCCTGATATGAATAAAGAGGCTAAGGAGTTTTATTGCACCATAACGGTGAATAATTTAGAGAAGGCGCGTTTACGTTGTCGAATTCATCACTGGAGTACAGATCCCAGCGAGCGGCTGCCGTATGTGGTTGAACATTGGAAAATGCCGGCGGAGCCTCTTTTCGGAAGTGAAGGCTCGAAAGAAGCAAGTGAAGCGAAAACCGATGACAAATTAGCTTAAGTTGGCGGAGGTCAATAAATGCCTGTTATTAAAGTCAGTCGTTTGGGAAACCCCAGCAAACACAGTCTCTACCGTTAGAGAAATTTAGATTTCTACATTAGATAACTACCGCATTTCTCTAATCGTTCTCGGGTCGATGACGGATGTTAGAGAACTATATTAGAATTCGATTCGAGAACGATTAGAGAAACAACGCAAATTCAAGTAAATGTAAATAAGCAATATTCTAAATGAATGAATCATAATTTTGTTTTATGTTCAAATAATTCATTATTATTTTATTGCAAATACATTTAATAAAAATTTTACAAATAAAGCGTTTTATTTAATAAAGCAAAATAGCAGTTTGAAATTCAAATTCGAATCCCATTAGAGATCAACATTAGAATTCGAATAGAGAATTAATATTTTCTCGAGTCAAGAACTATGTCCCATTTTTGTTGAGATCGCTATGATTCTCGATAGTTTTTCGAGTCAATCTCAAACGTTTGAGATTGGAGAATGTGGCTAGCTCTCCAATCATTATCTAATCGATAACTAACCTCAATGTTTGCTGGGACGATCCACTTTGAATTTCCTTGCTTGTATCAAAATCCAAGTTTTTATGAAAGTGGGCTTTTGAAACTTTTACCTCCGGCATGTTATTTACACTAAAGGAGGGTTCACAAGCTTTTGACAGTCGATTTACGATGCCATTCAGGTTCTGTAATCATGTATCACCTATATGCATTTTTAATTCTATATATAATTGCTCTGGCATACGACTTGGTTAGAGCGATTTGGAGTAGCTACAGAATTGAGTTCTATATATCAACTTAAAGTGCAAGCTCCATAGGTTATCAAAAAGTTGTCAGATTTCAAATCGGTGAAGTAGGTGCTAAAATATAAGCGTTTAAACAATTTCTTGACTCAGTCTCTGGTGTAGCTACAGAACTAAGTTGTATGTCAAATTAAAGTGCAAGCTGCAATTGCGGTTACTGTGTTTTTCACAAAAGTAAAATTGGCAGAAAAAATAATATTGAGCAGTGTAATTTAGTGAAAAATATTTACCAAATATCCGTGGAATTTTGATTCGGATTTGTATTATTCATAGTTTCGAAATTTATTTCGCGAAAGCAAAAAATAAAAATAGCTTAGACCACTTTCTTTTTTTAAACACCTAGGATATCATTGACAAATTTAAAGGGCCCAGATTGACGGTAAAATTCAAAACTCTAAAAATTTTTTGATGCGATTTCTGAAATGAATGATCCAAATTAGCCGGTATAGATATTTATGTATTTTTGTACTAAAAGTGTTAAGAAAGCTTTAGTTTAAAAGCGTGATACTAAATGCCTTTCACCATGAAACGGCGCCAATTTTAAAAGATTATTGCATTTCAGACTACGGCTAATAAAGCCCTTGGTCGGATATTGTGAAAGGTTGGGCTATACCTTAAAAATTACTGTTTTTCCACGGGCCACTGTACGAAGCTATGAGTAGAGTAAGGCCCATTAATTACTTATAAATTACCATGGGTTATCAGGTCTCTGGCAATACAAGATTAATTGTTGTCTTTCGCGAAGTTCTTTAAATAAATTTTAAGCTAAATACTGAGGTATATTCATGAACATCACGTTTTATTTTTTACTTAAGTATTCACCCGAACCTTGGGGGGTTATTACTAGTTATTTCTAAATATTCACCCCTATTGCGAGTGTCGGCTAGTAGTACATAAACGACTGTTAGTCGATTATCGATTATCCGTGGTATATTCAAAGTCAATTTCCTGTCCAATAAGTGCGTGTTTCCATGGTATTGTGAATGTCGATTTCTCGTTTAATAAGCGACTGAATAGTTTATAGTCGCTCATCCTTTTACAAATAAACAGTTGTAGAAGGATGAGATTAAAAATTATTCAGTCGCTTATTAAACGAGAAATCGACATTCACAATACCATGGAAAAGCGGCGATCGAATAAGTCTACTACTAGGGGTGAATGTTACAAAGGAACGTCCAATAAGCGCAACAAAGAAAGTGAAATTTCTATTTAGGTTCCGCTCATTAAATAAGAGAAATAAAAGAAACTGATGCTTTAAATTAATGCGTTTAAGTAAACAGACAGACACTGGATCCATCGTAGTCCGATTTCGTAAAATCTACGAAAATGCGATCGCCGGATCCGCATTCATAGTGCACATACATGTTATATCGTAGCTTTTTCAAATTCAGTGATAACGTTTTGAAAATAATTTGACCCTATCGAATTCAGAGATTCTCCCGATTATGCCACCTTTGTCAATCCTGTATGAAGTGGATTTTAATAGATACTCAGACAGGTTCTGCAGTTCGCTCGGAAACGAATTATAGAACCAAACTGATCATTTCTTATGCTTATCCTGAGGAGGCGATCATACATATAGAGTGGCAAAAAGGTTTCCGGGACGTACGAAATGAAAGGATAAATATCAGTACCGGAAATAAATTACCACTTCCTGAAACCAAATAACCAAAAGTTATGCGTATTTTGATTACTGGCAAATACTCATTTAAAAATGCATTTTTTTTTTTACAAAAAATGTTCTTCGAATGTATTTCATATTTTTTATAATTATGCTTGGGCGAAGCGCAGAGCATAGCACATTTTAAAGTGCGTATGCTGCTCGCTTCCGTATAATACTCTCATATTTATGCAATAAATTGTATAGAACATGAGATAATTAGAAACAAATTGTATTAAACTTAGATGAAACTCAAGACAAGCATATCAAAAAATTTGATTGTGAACTACCGCATACTGTTAACTGCTAAAATAAACAAAACAAGTTAAGAAATTTTTATATCTAATGCACGCCTTTAAGTTCAACTTCGAAGACGAGTGTACTGTTTGGCGGGATTGTTGGTGGGGATCCACGTGCGCCATATGCCATGTGTGGAGGACAAGTGATGCGGCGTTTGCCGCCAACCTTCATACCCACAACTCCTACATCCCAGCCTTTAATTACTTCCCCACGGCCGAGACCAAATTTAAATGCGGCACCTGTCTTTAAACTGTCGAACACCTTGTTATTGGACTTCAGACGACCTTCGTAGTATACTTGAGCACGTTTGCCTGACTTTGCTTCTTGTCCATTGCCAACGCGTATATCCTCAATTTTTACACCTCCGGTGATAACACGTTCACCGCCAGCTTTCTGTTGTTGCTTTTGTTGCGGTTGTTCATTTTTATTAGCCTTTTTATCTTTCTTGCTTTTCTTTTCAGCTGAGCCCTCTTTTGCCACACCATTTTGCTGTTTCTGTGGTTTGTCCAACTTCGGGTGTTTGGCTTTGGGTTGCTGGACTTCCTCATTCTCGCTCTCTTCCTCCTCTTCATCGTCTTCATCGTCATCATCTTGCTCTGTAAAAAAAAATGAAGAATGTTATTAAAATTACCCTGAATTTATTACATTCTTATGATACACATACCTTCATCATCCTCATCGTCATCGTCTTCGTCTTCGTCCTCGTCCTCGTCGTCATCTTCAACTTCGGCTATTTGAAAAGTATTTTTACAGCATTCATTTTTTTTTTTTAATAAAGTGTCAACCATACCTAAATTTTCGCCGTTGAAATCACTATCATCTTCATCATCATCATCTCCCTCTTCGTTGCTTGCTACTTGTTTTTTAGCATTGCCAGCTTTTTTTGCATTGGCTTTCTTATTCAGAGCCTGGCGCAGATCTTGCACCTCTTCTTCTTCCACTTCAGACTCATCATCGTCCTCATCGTCCATGAAATTGAATTTATCAATGAGATAACCAGTGAGACTAACATTACCACTGCCTATAAAAGAATATGAAAATCACAATTATACATATATATTTAGACCTTCATTAGCACTTACCAATGCTCTGAAAGCAAATTTCATCTCCTTCGCCAAAGTTCAGATCTAACATGACTTGTTCGCAGCTGCCATTGCGCAATGTGCAAATTAAGAACTTTTGATTATCATGATTAATGTAAATTTGGTTCGCTCCTCCATCCGATACAGAGTCGGTGTCCAATGACGCCAATGAAATGTGGAAAGGTTTGCTTGTTGTTTGAGTATATTTACGGTTGGGCTTGAGATTTAATCCTAGGTTTAAAAAATTATTTTATATAAAACACTTTCCAAAGATGGCGCAAGGTTCCAATGACCCGCTCAAAATGAAAAAAACACGTGGTGAAATTTTAAGCATTGAACCTATAATCTGCTATTAAATCCACTAAACAAACTTACCCCAAAACATTTTGCTATTACTTGGTAATATTAATACACTGTAAAATGAAATTAATTAAGACTTTTCTTAGGCAAAACTTTTTCCACGATGCCGGCAGCGAAACGAAAATAAAAATTCCTTCGCAGCTGAATGCGAGTGAACGAACGCGAGGATGTGCCGCGTGAAATTTACCAGTGTTGCCAGAATATTTTTGTACCCCATCCCCATATCGGGCCGCAGTTATCCCCAAAAAATCCCCATTTTTCTTTTGAATCCCCATTTAAATCCCCTTTAGTAAGAAATAAAAAAAGCATGTATTCACATTTGTGTTAGTTCATTTTAATCCAGTTTTCATTTTAACACAGCTTTCATTTTATTACAGTTTTGAATACTTTTCTCTAAACATTTTCACAAATTTATATATGTATATGTACATACGTACATATGTACATATATGCATGAGGTTATTTGGTTATACGTACAACTATGGTCAGAGATTTAGCACCAAAATTCAAAGTTATATGTTTTTACAACATATGTTTATTTATTTATTTTTATTAATTTTGCTTTAAAATATAATTCAATCTACAACAGAAACAGCATAAATAAAAGTTTGACATCAAAAAGTAATCAAACTTTTTTAGTGTAATAAAGTAGAAGTATCAAATAGCTAAAGAATACCGTTTATTTTTTAGAATTTCTTTCGTGGAGGTTGTTGCGGAAATGGTTTGTTCAGTGAAAGCCAATCAAAGCAGACATCTGCGCCGAATAATGCTTTGACGGCGTTAGGAAAACCTTACAAACATAACGCGCAAAAAGGATGTACTAATAAAATCTTTATTCGAGAAATTTTTGTGGGCAGCCCAAAAAATATATGTTTTAATTTCAATATCAAAGTTTTAAACCAAACAAAAATCCCCATAAAGTCCCCACATCCGCAAACGAAAAAATCTATCCCCAATTGGTTTCATAAATCCCCAAAATGGGGCGAAATCTGCAGATCTGGCAACTCTAAAATTGACAGCGCAGAGACAGAGTTGCATCAGAGCCAGGGCTGCCAGCATCACTCAATTCGTGCACTATTTGCCATCAGTGTTGCCGTTTTAGCCCAAGAGAACTAGAGCACCTTAGAGCACGATTTTCTGCACCAGCGTTTTTGATGAAGTAAAGCAGTGTTTGCATTATTCAACTTTGTGTTCAACAATTGCGTTCAACTCAACGCAGGGTTGCACGAAAAAAAAGTTGAATGGCTAAATGTTGGCTGGCGACCAACTTTGTGAAAGCGATTAGTTGAAAGGCCATTCAACCAAAAGTTGAATGCACAGTTGAACAATGCAAACACCTTTTTATGGCGAATATTTTGATATTTTTTCATATTTTGATATTTTTAGCCATACAACTTTTTTTCGTGCAACCCTGCGCTGAGTTGAACGCAAATGTTGAACGCAAAGTTGAACAATGCAAACACACTTTAACTTACACCCGATTCACATGATTCAAGTACTTGAAAGCAATTCTTGCTCATTCTCTTTTGTGTTTTCTATTTGCTTTTACACGTTTCAATTCTGTTGAATTCAAGTTTTTGGTTCTTTAAATGTGAAGCAACGAAAATGCCAAAAGCAAAGCAAGAAAGTTGAAACGACTTGACGGTACAGACGCATGTGTACTCGTCCCTTTTCTTCTCACCCCCTCTCTACCACATGCGAGCAGAATTGAATTCAATACTTGAACTGTGTAAAAGCAGTCATAGAGCAATTAAGCACACATACACACACTTTACAATTGACGAATTGAACTGTCGAGCCATAGTTGCCAACTTAGTATTTTTAGCACTAGATTTAGTGCTTTTTGAAAATTAAAACGCCAAAAATGTTTAGTGCCTAGTGCCTTTTTTAGTGCTCTTCTTCTGAACTCAAATTTCTCATAGATAGTTAAAACATGAAATAATTTTAAATATTTAAAGCTGTAGCAGCACTGAATTTAAAAGAATCTACATTCATTTTTTCGTTTGTTGCGATTAGATTTTTCTTTCTCTAAATATGCCAGTTTTAATCTGCAGTACCTACTTCGGTATTACTTCGTTAGCATGAGAAAGGTTTTGTGTATTGATTTATACTTATAAATATTATAATTTTTTTTTTACTTTTGTTAAATACAAACTGTTATGAAAAAAGTATCCTTTCGTATAAATAAAAATTAGTGATTTTAGTACGGTAAAACGCTCTTTTCCTAAGTTTTGGTGCTTTTTGAATCTCAGAAGGTGGCAACAATGTGTCGAGCAATCAACCCTGCAAAAATTACGACTACTCTATGCATGCATGTAAAGAGTACTCCCTAAGGACCAAGGAGTGCTCCAAAATTAACCACAATTCATATAAAAAATATGGTCCTATTAACATTGCGATGTCCTAGGGCAAGACCATATACTCCATCTCTGCATTACATCAGAGTAGCACAAAACTACTCCAACATATTAACAATGTCATTGTTGTTATATTTTTTCGTTTGTACACGCTTTTGTTCTTCACTTCTCAAATGCTTTTTCGAAATTAATAAAAACCAAGACAAAAACTAAAAACTATATGTTGCCTCTGACGGCATTCGAACCGGAACATGCTGGGAGCTAAGAACTAACAGCGAGCATCTCTACACGTTCAGCTACAGCATGACAGAGGAACACTTTTGTAAGTACTCCGATTTACCACAAATAGACTACATGGTCCAACGATTTTTGCAGGGAAGTGTATTGAGCATTTCCGCCTGAAAAGTGTTTCATGAGATTTATGATTTGAGTTGCTGTAACTGGCTCTATGGTTTTTTTGACAGCTGCTCTATTCTGCTCTAACTTCAGCTGCTCTGCACTTTTTTCGGTTTCATTAAACACAACTAATTAGTATGTTCCAATAGCAGTCCGGTTTACAGGATTTAGTTAGAACTTACAGGAAGCCGTTCCTATTGACACAAAACCTGTAAGTGGGAACACTTTTGAGAGAGTAACTGAGAACTGTTCCTAGTCAGAAGTTACAGGATTTAGTCCGGAGTTTTTTTTTTCCTTTAAGTTCATGAAAAATGTCAAACGATCAGCTGATTTGCATGTTCAATTCAATTTTAGTCTGTTCCTTTGAACCTCGGACTAAAACCTGTTAAACTGTCAAACTACAACTTTACTCTCTCAAGTGAGAGTAAAAAGAGAACAGATGCAGAAGTGCACGGGAACGCAAAAAGCGCTATTTCCTGTAAAAACGTCAGTCGGTTTGTTTACATGTCATTCGTACAACACTGATTTGGCTAAAATATCACTAGCTAATTATTAATCTATACATATTCAAATATTTCGTTGTTTACTTCCATATTTTTACAAATATAAGGTTCTTTGCTTACACCGCTTTCTGTTTTTGTTTGCACATGCAAATCAGCTGATCGTTTGACAGTTTTCATGAACTTACAGGAAAAAAACTCCGGACTAAATCCTGCAACTTCTGACTAGGAAAAGTTGCTCAATTACTCTCTTAAAAGTGTTCCCACTTACAGGTTTTATGTCAATAGGAGCTACTTCCTGTAAGTTCTGACTAAATCCTGTAAACCGGACAGCTATTGGAACAGACTAAAAATTAGGAAAAAACCTTTTTTAGCGCTATGTGGATAGAGAAGAAAAAATGTGGGGCCAGTGTGCTTAGGCCGACTTAGACCAAACGGCGCTGAGGCATTTGTTTTTAGCAACGAAAATTCAGACCCCGATTAAAAATGAGAAGAATTGTCTGAGCTCAGTAGCTCTGAAAAAGCTTGTGAAATTAAGTTCATATTCGGCAATATATTTTTACAAATAAAACAAACACATAAACTAAATCGAATTGTATTTTTTAATTTGGTTTGGTTTGGTTTGGTAAACTCACTTGTACATCACCAACTAGATGACATGTGTGAGCGAGTGAACATACTGTAAGGCAAATGCGCCCATGTGTGTGCAAGAAAGGGATGCACTATCACACGCCCGGAGAAGTGGTCACTTTTTAAACGGACGAAAAGTTTTAGTCAGTTTTCCCACTAATTTAACCGATAATCATAGGTCAGGCTTCTTGCAGGGAGTGGCGCAACTTTAGGATGTCAACAAAACGAAATGGCGAAAATTATCTCCTATACCCTTTCGTTTTGACATCCTCCTGTACCAATAACAAAATACAGGGGACTTTTACGGTGACCATATTTATGGCAGCCGAACACGGGACAAAAAATAATTTTGCCAATTTTCTCCACAAAAGCTAGAGTTAGTGATGTTCCGATACCAGTACTTGGAAGTTAATACTCGAGTACCTCTACCAAGTACCGAGTATTTTTTGTACTTCGATACGCGTGTACAAGTACTTCATGGGTATCGAGTACAAAGTGCAAGCATTCACTTGTTTGCTAAATTTGGGAAAATCAACTGAAAATAGATCTGTGTTGTAGTTTTTGAAAAAAAAAGATTCAAGATGTGAACCACTTGATTTCGCTAGGGTTAAAACTAAGGAAAGTGGAGAACAAAAAGCGTATCGGATTAGAGGTGGATGTGGGGGCAGCCTATAATTTGCGCAAGCGTCGTCTATAGATCGTTTTGAAACCGAAAAATCAAACACAAATATACAATGAGCTTTCTCATCACATAACATCTCCTATTTCAGCACTTCCAACTAACCCCATTTCAAAATAGAAGGATATGAAAGGGCATTTTCAGCTCTTCATAAGCCTTTCTCCACTGTATGTCTTTATATTGTATATGGGTATTGAATTAAAATTGATTGTGTAAGTACTTTCGAGTACAAGTAGAATCGAGTATTTCCTAGCGATACTTTGAGTAGCATCGAATATACATGGTGGTATCGGACGAAGACTGGCGAAACAGCATCTTTAATTAGCATATATTTTTCAATCTTTTGTGAACGCAGCACATAAATACTCAGTTGCAACATCCCACATTTGTAGAATATTTTTCCATAACCTTGTACTTTGTGCTCGGCATTTTTACCACGTAAAATTTGTTACAAACATTCCTAGGCGGGGAAATTATCCGACTACTTTTGAAGCATAAGCGGTATTCAACGAATTATTTTCAGACTCGTATTTCGGCCAAGCACAATGCAAAGCGTACCTTCGAAGGGTTACATTTTCCTTCCATATTTGAGAATTTATTTACTTTTACAACTGGGGTGTTCACAGTCCGTTCCAAATAGTGTCTCAAAATGTAGACGTCTACATTTTAAGACGTTTTCTAACCGTAAAATCTGTGGTGTTGTTGTTTCCCATACAAAATTGGAAAACGACGCCGTCTACATTTTGTCACACTCAAAGGTATGTTTTTTACGCGTCTACATTTTGCAACCTCGCAGCAGAGTTGCATTATGGCAATACTAATCACATTTTTTTTATTTATTGGGCACGTTTTCTGTATTTGCATTTAATTTGAGCGCAATTTCCGATGAATAGAAACAAACCAAGGAAAAGAGATAACAAATATTACGAATTGCTAATTAAGTTAAATAATTACAATTTTTCAGAAACAAAATCGAAAGGCGACATATAAAAAATGCACGCAAGGAAGAAATGTCTGGCAACACCAGCAAAGTTTTGAGACGATTTTGCGACGACTGCTCGAAAGGGGTGCTCACAATTTGATGCTAAAGATGTCTCAAAATGTAGACGTCTACATTTTCAGACACAATTTGGAACGAACTGTGAACACCCCAAACATTCCCATAGTCATGGTACAATAAAAACAGGTAGAAGCATAGCTAAGTCCGGCAGCTTTTTCAAGCCTACAACTAATTCCGGCGAAGATATCGCGCGAAGAGTTGACCTCAGAGGCCATTTGCCCCATAATATCTGCTATTTGTTTACTTAAAAATAATTATACTTGAGTAAAAGACATTATCATTAATGTTTATTTTTTATTTTTTTTTTGTATAAGAAAATTAATTTGAACAAAGGAATACGGTTTCAAAAGCTCTATGTATGTATTTATTAACTCATGGTTACGCCTAAAGTACGAATCGAATATTCGTAAACCATATAACTAATACAAACTGCAGGCACTACTTTGATAAGATTTAAAACTAATCCACGGTATAATCCAGGCAAACCTTCGTTTTCAATAATATTTCGAAATAATTGAATTGAGTTCTTTCTATTCGCAGGCCTTCGTGTGAAACCAACACGTGGTACATCTCTCAGTACGACTGTAAACAAAAAATAAAGTAAAATAAAGTGACGTTATGGAACATAGACAAGAATTAAAAAATATATGTATATATATATATATATCGCGGGCTTATAGTCAATACCCTTTAACTGATATTTTCACAAAAACTGCTTTGTGATATTAGAACCCATCTGGGACTTATCTATTATCACTGATTTTAATTTTGACTGCAATTTAATAGTAAATTCTTCTGCCAAGCGCTAGACAAGGTCATCATTAATATCACCGATGACAGTTAAGTCTTAGCTGGACTTTTATGTATATCAGAATCTAATTTTTGTGAAAAGTGCAGATAGAAGGTATTGAATATAAACCCTCGATATATGCATGCATGTACATATGTACATATATTTTAGACTTAAGACCGTTAAAATACCTGCATCTATTCATATAATAATAACTATTGAATCCGTTAAACGTTGTTAAAATTGAATTTAACTTAATAAATATAAATAAATTAGAAACTATTCCAAATGTTAGTGAGAGTGCGCGTAATTTAATTTTTTTTTTAATTTTAGATCGTCCTACATATACCGATAAAAAAGCTCTAATTAAAAAAAACATTTAAAACCTTATTATACGTTTGCAGGTCAAGGTCTACTTTAGAACACATTTTTGTCACATTCTGTCGTATGTCATAAAAATGCTTGTATCCGTAAAAAAATTGTATAATCAGATACTAGGATCCTCGCAAAAGACTAAAGACCAATAAAAAGAGCTGACAATAATTTATATTTATAACTAACAATGTGACAATGCCGCTTGTAGTATTAACAAATTATGAAAGTTCAAAAATCCTTGTATCCGTAAAAAAGTTTGAAGTGAAACTCCCTTCAATATTTTTTTATCATGGAATGATATAATCGCATGGCGGATTTATACCATACATGCACCATGATATGATCGAAAAGATTCAAATCTCATTAAATTTATTAAGCTGACATGTCTTTTAATAGAACGAATCGTTTTCCAAAAGTCAAGTTTTTTTAGACTCAAACTGAGAACGATTTCAGTTCTTTATCTGACATTGCTAACACTGTTTGGTCCCTTAATGGGCGATCGAGAACTTGTTCAAAATTTGTACCTAATCTGAATGAAAACGCTTATCTATGATGATTCCAGTTCCAACTCTTCTTCTTCTTTATTGACGCTGTAACCGCCCAACCGATTTGGCCGAGTCCAAAACAGCACGCCAGTCATTTCTGCCAAGTCCTTCTCCACCTGCTCTTTCCAACGCAGAAAAGGCCTTCCTCTTCCTCTGATACCAGCATCGTGACCAGCGTTGAACACTTTTAGAGCAGCACCGACTGCCAACCAACGAGACAATTTTTTGGTTGAAATTTTTGAATGCTTTTGTGTGTTTATTTTTATATTTAAATTCTTATCCCAAACATTATTCGACACTTATAAAAGTATGATTTTACATTTTTTTCCAAATTTATTTAGAGCTTAACTCTAACAATTTTGAAATTAAATTTTTTTCATGCGAAATAGTTTGGGAATAAACGAGCACGTTTGAAAGTGCTTAACTCGGACGGACAACAAATGAAATCACTTTCCTTGAAGTGGTAGTACACGTCCACATCGCTGCCGTCTTAACTCGCATCTAGGTGGTTTAAAACCAGGGTTCGGAAATTCTCATTTATGATTATTCGTTTTCATTCTTTTACGAGATTTATCGCGATCGATAATATTCCAAGTCTATTTTTGCATTCTTTTATCGCGAGTGAAAAATGCAAACAAATTTATCATCTCTCACATTCGGAATGCGATCGACAAAAAAATTTTCGCTGCTTTTCATTCGCGATCGAAAAAAGCAAAGAAATTTCCTCTCACTCGAATATGAGAAGTCCGAGCATTGCCGATGTCGGCCTCTCATAAATAAGAACAACGATGCAAATAATCCATTCGCGATCACTCACAACAGCTTATCGCGATAAACTTTTCGCGAAAAATTTTCAACGACGTTGTATGGGAGATATTTTTCGCGTTTGTTTTGGGTATGCATTTTGTTATGCATACAGCGTACATACATATGTACATATGTATATGTAAGTAATGCAAGCAAATGCTTTTCGGTTGGAAGGAATGTGGGAATATGCACAAATATATGAATTATGGTGGAAACATATATGTATGTATCTACATATACATAAATTACGTACATGCATACGTGTAGTTAAAGTATATTCCAAGCGTACACTTTTCAGTATAATGGTGTATCTGCATGTTATTTTATTATAATGATTGCGTTTATTTTTAACCGACTTCCAAAAAAGGAGGAGGTTATCAGTTCGTCGGAATCTTGTTTTTTTTTTATGTATGTTACCGCATAACTTTGGACCACGTCAACCGATTTCGATAATTCTTTTTGCATCGGAAAGGTAGTGTCTCAGATACTAATCTGGTTTAGATCCGATCATTGGATCATGAAATATATATATATATATTTTTTTTTTTCATATGAGAATTGAAGTCGGTTATGTTTTTTGCTTAAAAATTACTTGTTTATATCTAATAAATGGAACTTAGTGGGGATAAGATTCGTTTTTTTGTGGTAGAAGTATTATCATCATCACTTTCATCACTATTTTCTATATCTATTTTGTGTATAAGTTTATAATGTCTTTTAATATTTCCTCGTAATAATCCACTAAGCTCTCTTTTACCCGACTCTACAATGCATGTACTTTTCTTGGTAGTTTCATCGTACTTAACGTAATTTTGCAAATCTGTTTTTTTCCTTCCCATTGTCTCTTCTCAATATTGTTATATCGTTTATTTATTTAAATAGTCGCTACTAAGCACTGTATAACACTCCTCTCTACCGATGTTTGGATAAATAAATGTGTTCGCCCTCTTATATATGTATATCCGACAAGCACATTCCATAATTTACTGGAAAAGATTTTCCATTACTTCTACCTCTGACAACAATGCATATGTATATGTATACGTACAATTATAGCGTAATTCCTTAGAAAAGCGAAAAAACATCTTCCATACAACGCCCTAAAAAGTTTTCAGGATAAGCTGTTGTGAGTGATCGCGAATGGAGCACCCGCATCGTTTATCTCAGGTGCACACCCAAAACTCTATGAAGAACGTACATACGTATTTACGAAATATCTGGTATTCAGGGAAATCCCAACTAAACCACGCAACTCCGCACTTAGCGAAATGCAGTTTGAAGAAAAAATCACTACCTGCTACAACTCTAAAATGAACGAAATCATGTGCTCTTTTCCGTAAATATTTCTAAAGCATACTAGTTATTAGTGGAAAATAAACAAAAGGTAGGTAGAAAGCTGCTGCAATATTGTATCTACATACATACTTCAGGATAAAAGGCTCACAAGTAAATTTATTTCGTCTTTGCAAGGTCGTAGTAAAACCAACGCTTAGCTATTATTTGATTATTGCTGCAAAATTTTTGCTCATTCTGCGCTACTGTTCAGTAAATAGCTATGCTCTTACCGGTATAAGTACATGCATATACATAGATACACACATATCTACATACATATGTATGTGTGCATGGATATGAAATGCAGACCTTCGTTTTATTGAGTTTTCTTCTAGTAATACATCCATACATATTCTTATTCTATTTACATGTTTATATTTTTTGGTTTCTTATTAATATCCTTATAATGGCGAATCAAAACATTTAAAATAAATTAAAAATGTATATGTATTGTTTTTTCTGCTTTTCTTTACTCTCAGTCTTCACCAGACGCCCACTTTTCTCATTAGTCAATCTTATCCCCACTAAGTTCCATTTATTAGATATAAACAAGTAATTTTTAAGCAAAAAACATAACCGACTTCAATTCTCATATGAAAAAAAAAAATATATATATATATATTTCATGATCCAATGATCGGATCTAAACCAGATTAGTATCTGAGACACTACCTTTCCGATGCAAAAAGAATTATCGAAATCGGTTGACGTGGTCCAAAGTTATGCGGTAACATACATAAAAAAAAAACAAGATTCCGACGAACTGATAACCTCCTCCTTTTTTGGAAGTCGGTTAAAAATAAACGCAATCATTATAATAAAATAACATGCAGATACACCATTATACTGAAAAGTGTACGCTTGGAATATACTTTAACTACACGTATGCATGTACGTAATTTATGTATATGTAGATACATACATATATGTTTCCACCATAATTCATATATTTGTGCATATTCCCACATTCCTTCCAACCGAAAAGCATTTGCTTGCATTACTTACATATACATATGTACATATGTATGTACGCTGTATGCATAACAAAATGCATACCCAAAACAAACGCGAAAAATATCTCCCATACAACGTCGTTGAAAATTTTTCGCGAAAAGTTTATCGCGATAAGCTGTTGTGAGTGATCGCGAATGGATTATTTGCATCGTTGTTCTTATTTATGAGAGGCCGACATCGGCAATGCTCGGACTTCTCATATTCGAGTGAGAGGAAATTTCTTTGCTTTTTTCGATCGCGAATGAAAAGCAGCGAAAATTTTTTTGTCGATCGCATTCCGAATGTGAGAGATGATAAATTTGTTTGCATTTTTCACTCGCGATAAAAGAATGCAAAAATAGACATGGAATATTATCGATCGCGAACGTGAGAGAATGTGAGTGAGAATTTCCGAACCCTGTTTAAAACATCGCACTATTTTCGTGTCCTGACTTCTGTTGCATACAGCGCTCCGTTCAAAAGTTTTGCTCCGTTTCATCTTGGTTTCCTTACATTAAATATTTAAGCAAAGTCGAACGTATTTACTTATTACCAAACTTTAAATGTGCTTAGTTGCTCTCCTCGGCGGTTTATCTCTTAACAATTTCACGTTTATTAAGAAAATTTGTTGCTTAAAAAATTTTTGTGTAATTTTTTATTAACAAATTCAAATATGAAAAAAAAATATTTTCAAATGGGTTAACCATTCATTTCAATTTGACATTATAGCCTGTTCCTTATGAGAGCAATGTCAAAATCAATCACACTTTATTGAATACATTTTGGTTTCAATAAATTGCCTTGCCACTTTGATAATATTAAGGCAATAAATCGGAGAATTTTCTTTCGCATATTTATACCAATGTAATAATATTTCAAATCAAAAACCATTATCAGTGCTTGGTATTTTTTTACTTACGTAGCTCGCACTATTTTTATTAAAACTATATAAAGTACAAACTATCATCGTAATTGTTCATTTTATTTTATAATAAAAACATCGTGCATTATTTTGTTATTTTTTCGTTTTCACATTCTTGTGATTTAAAAATCGAATTCTAAATTCTATTCTTCGGAAATAAAACCTTTTTATATTTTGGTTCAAATTTAACTTTAAATTTCTCATCAGATTTTGAAAAAAATTTGGTTTTGTGATTAGCGTATCGCTATTAACTTTCACAAATTTTTAATTTAAAATGCAAATGCGCGTATCAAGATAATGCAAAACCGCGTATGTGAGGTTGCATAAATTATTTTCTAAAGAGTAAAAACACTCATATTTAAAAATGGTTCTCTTTTTTACAAATAAATCGAATTTCAGGACGAATGGATAAGGCTTTAGCCAAGAGCTTGTGTGAACAAATCCAATTTTTGGCAAAAGATGTCAGTTAGGCGGTTTTGCACAACGACGATGCGCGGTTTTGTACTTTAAACGACAATATGTAAGTATACACTTTCCTCATGCGTTCTAAAACCTAGTCGTCCACCCCATTTTCGAAATTATGTAGCCGCCATAATTTTCAAGTTCATTGAATAAAATCTGCTTAAAAAAAATTTTTATTCTAGTGATCAGGTAGCATGAATTTGATAATAATTTTATTAAAAGTCAAATGGTGAACAACAACAACGAATGTCATTAAATGAAACTGCCTTCTTTTTTGTGTCATGGTTTTTATAATGAAAAAAGTGTCCCCAAACGGAACGTCCGCAACGCAGGAAACACCCGTATGTATATTTTTGCCCCGACAAAAAATTCAAAGAATTATCCGTAACGCTAGAATTTGCCCATATGTATGTGTATACATTTTCTGGGACCACATGTTGTATGTGTAACATATTGCGCCTACACTCACTACTCTGAAAAGATCTGAAACCACCCACCCTTCAAGACAGCTGAGTATCATATGAATACTCATACTATCATTATCACTAATCACAAAATTGTTTATCAAAGTATTCCGTTTTGTTCAGACCATGGGAAAAATTGAGTACTTTCCCCTCAATGTTGTCATCACAAAGTCCTCAGTACAAATAGTCAAACTACTCATTTATGCCATACCACAAAAACAAAATCATTTTGTAAATACGCGTGTATTAGAGACTAATGAAGAAAGTGTAAGGCCTAAATTCACAGTGCATAGTTAACTCAGAATCGGCAATTCACATCTTATTAAAAACTTTGTTTGGTTTAAGCGAAGGTTAAAAGCAGATCTTATAAGAGCGAAGTAATGGAAGTTTGAATTTGATTTGTGTCGGGACGTTACTGAAAATGCGACTTTGATATGAACACCAAAGTCAACAGGTTTCTGCAAACTGTCATATGTGAAGAACATAATCGAGAAGAATACTTTGAAGAGAAAATACTGAAGTTAAGATAATGTACTTGAAATTGTAAAAAAATTGATTTATTTGCAAAACGCAGAGAGACGTTCTAATTTCCTTTGTTGTTTTGTTTTATTATTATTTTTTTTTTGCAGAACTATATTTTTACTGGTGCACCGACTACTAAATTGTGGAATATTTAGTTCTAATTTATTGAGTACTATTTGTCTAACCCGATATCTTACAGGGTAGCTAAAATATTGTAAGGGCCGGTTGTTCAATGTCTGATTAGTACAAATCGGAGGTAGAAGCTCCGGTTAAGCACAACTACTGCTTTATCGATCACATGTTACATGCATGATGTCGAAATCGTCGATAGTGTAGTGGTAGTGATAACCAGACATTGAACAACCGGCCCTAAGTCTAGTTTAAACAATACGCCGATACCTTACAGTGAACTCTTACCTTGTGCTTGTAGTCGTGTTCGAACCAGTGAACATGGATACGTCACTATCTGTGCCAATGCACTGGATATGCTACCGCAAAGAAGAACAAGCAAAGAATTTTTCTCTTCACTTCCTTTTTGGAAATAATTCCTCAATGTTTCATACACTGCCAGTTCAATGCCGGCATATGGTACGATACCAATTAGGTTTATGGCGTAACCATTGTAGAAGCTTAGCAAACCTTCGGTGAAATAGATTTTTCTAGCTGCATCAATTAAGCCTCGATATTGATTAGTTTTGCGTAAAGTCAGACGAGTTTTCAAAACATCAAATGGATAAACTATAGATTGCGAAATGGTACCCGCAATGGAGCCAGCAACAAATCGTCCACCAATATTCATTTCTTCATGATGTGGATTTCTCTCGATTTTGATAAAATGTTTAATTTTCTCGTAGATTGTAAACTTTATTGCTGAATCTGAACTAATTTTTAAGACGTTTACACCATTACCACGCCACATACTTCGTATTCCTCCCTCCTTGACCATATAAGTTACACTATCAACAACGGAAGTTTTCGTGGTTTGAACCTACGAAAAGTAAATATGTATATGTATGTGTACGTATGTACGTGGTTAACGTGGTCTCCATAATACCTGCATATGTACTTTTATTCTATCTATAGGCGCTGTGCTTGTTCGCGAAATGGCACCCGCAAATCCCCCAGCAATGGAATGGCGCCACCACACACTTTTCTGCGATTGCTGCTGCGGAATTTTATTAGGTACTTGTATGATCACCAATTGTGGGTAGCTGAAAATAAGTACATAGAAAAAGACGTTCAGAATTTCAGCATGAAAAGTGAATGAAATATATTTGCAAACGTTCTTAAGGAGACTCGTGCGGGCTTTGAACAAAAGAAACTCGAAAAGTTAGGCGTTTTCTTGATTCTATTTTTGTTTTTTTTTGTAAGAAAAAAAAATAAAAAAATGTGATGACAAATAGATTGTGAAATTATCGAAACAATTGTGGCAAGGCGAATTTATATATTGTGTGGTTTGTTCAAACAGAGAGGATTTTTGATAATAATTTTTGTGTAACGTCACACTGGCTCATTTGCGAGAGAGAAATGCCAAAACGCGAGCAATAATGGAAGAAGAAGAGATTTTGCAATAAAAACGTAAACAACACAAGTGTAACGTCATACAAACAGCGACTATGTCAAATTAGCTGAGAGCGGAATAGCGGTACCGAGATGGACGCCACCTTTGTTCTCTACATCGTGAGCTATCCCTAATTTTGATCGCCAAAAATCTTCAAAAGAACAGCAGGCTCGTCTAACAACATGCAACAGCTAGTTACATACTTTTTCATATAGCATACTTTTGGGCCGCACTGATTTTAATTTAGAGAATTTTAGCCACGAAAATTTAACTTGGCGATTGTCAGCACCGCAGCCCTAGATTTTGTTGTTTTAAAAAGGAAAATAGTTTAATTTCTTTTCATTTTTAGTAACTTATTTTCACTGTTTTCCTTTTTTTGTAATTTTTTCTCTGTTTAATTTATCTTTCTTTTAATTTGTAGATTTTATTATTTTATTTTATTTTATTTTCTTTTTTTTTAATTTAATTATTTTTTAAATTGAATTGTATTTTAATTTTATTGTTGTTTTAAAAAGAAAAATTGTCTGGATCTGAGGTTAAAATCCTCGGTCAGCGGAAGTATTTTCAATTAAAATTTTTTAAAATTTTTAGATATTAATTTTTAGAAACTGATTTTATGTACTTTTTCAATTTAATTGTTTTCTTTTTTAGTTTAGTTCTTACGTTCTTAGATTCCATTGTTTTAAAAATAAATTTAGTTTTAATTAAATCAAATTTTAGAAACTTCTTTTATTGTTTTAAGAAGAAAGTTATTTTATAAATTTTATTTAATTTAACTTTTAACCGCTTCAAAAAAAAGGAGGAGGTTCACAATTCGTCGGAATATTTTTTGTATGTATTTTACCGCAAAATTTTGACCACGTCAACAGATTTATAAAATTCGAAATTGGAACGAAAAATTAAGAAAATTCTGAAAAAATTCCGCAAGAAATTCCTCACATTGCAGCATTATTTTTATTGCTTTAACGATTTTCCTCCAAAATTTTATACAAGAATCGAAGTGTGCACAGTTTAGTTCATTTTAGAAAATTCGGCAAAAATCGGATTAGACCTTTACGAATTCTTTAAAATTTCTTACAGTTCAGAATACTTGGGAAAAAACAGTTGTGCTTCCATTGGAATTATAAAATCTATTATTTTTTAAGACTACCACCAAAATATTAAAAAAAAAATCTTTAAGAAACTATTTTTATTCATAAAAAACTCCAATTTTGGATATATGTTTTCAAATCGATTCACCTCACGTAAATCTTAATACTTTTCGAAATATTTTTGTAATACCGGTGGGAAAACCGCAACTTTTTTTTGGTGATGCAGTCAAATGTACATACCTACATACATGTGTATGCATGTAGTTTGTATAGAATTTTAGTTGTATGAAACAAATTTTTCGAGGATAAGAAAAATATAAGTTTTTTTTTTATTTTATCTTAACACGTAAGAAAATTTGAAAATTTTCACTGTTGCGCCATCTGGCGGAAGTTTGAAGAAAAAGATAAGTCCATAAATGGATTTCTTGTACCAAAAAACGCCTTATAGCATGTTTTTATACTAAATTTATGACACTACAGGAAAATGCTAAGTGAAAGAAACCAATTTTCGCAATTTGGCAAACTCAAAATTTATTTTAGACCCACGTTTATTCGGCAAATTTGCTTAGAATTGCACATAGAATCCTCCTATGCCATACGCATATAGTCGAAAAAAAAAATTGACCCGCCCTAATGTGTATACATACATACATACATACATACATATATCTCATATCAACAGTTGTTTTATATTTCGTGCGCAACTGTTGTCCTTTCGTGACATACATACATATGTTATATATCGGAGCTTACTGGAAATATTTAAGAGCTTTTGTTCGTCACTCGCAAGGAAGAGACTGCAACACCATATGCTGCTAAACACATATCTGAGTCACTGCTTCTTTTATACGGACAGGAATTTGTTGTGAATTGTGAACTAGCATTTGAAATACCAATTTATAATTGAATGAAATTGGATATAGTGAAAAATATATTGCTCAAATCATCGAAACACTTCATTAAATTTATTTTTTAAATATTACGTGCGGAACGAAGAAAACGCTGGCAATGTTTACAAATGTTACGTGAAAAGTACAACGTTAAGCAGCAGCGTGAACCGGATTAATATAATTTTTGTTGTGTATGGTTTTAGTTTCATTTTTAACCAGCAAACTTGTGTAGTGAACTTTGTGAACGTTCATTAAAGTACAAAAAATAAGGATAAAAGGTGTAAGGAGTGCGATCTGATTTGAATGTTCTTGAAGCCATTTTCAAGATATTATTTTTATGTGGCATTAAAAATTCCCCTGTATATTGTTTGGAAAAATCGATTGCATGCAATTTGGTATCCTTTTTGTGTATTGCGACCCAAAGGATTTGCTTTCCCAAGCTCAGTGTGGAGCTTTCACATGCCATTCCAGTGGAAAAGTTTTTGAATGCATTCCATTGGAATGTTAATTTCGTTTTGCTGTTTGAAAGCGTGAAAAAGTCAACACTACGACAAGGGGAGATACATATGTACATCGGCTTGTTTGTTATCATTTGTGCCGATACGCAATAGAAAAACATAAACACCCTCCCCAACACCAAACAGTGCCCCATTAGTTAAAGTTGCCATTCATATATACTATGTATGTAGTTGATTGTGTTTTTTGTGGCATATTGACGTTACTGTGAATTTCTATGTATGTACATTTGTGCTTGAGGTGGTTTTTAATACAAATATTGGGTAAATACTTTGCAGTTGTACGCAGCGAAATTTCGTTCAGGACCTTGTGAAGTACGTACATAGTTTGGGAAAACAAAACATAAAACGCCGGAAGTTGGAAGTGTACTAAGATGATAGTAATTTCCGGTGTGGAATCGTACTCTTTAAATGGTAAGTAGAAACTCACAACCAATGGCTTTAAACTGAACTCTATAATTGCGATGCTTATATCAACATAGCCAATGAAAAAGGCCCTATTGGTTAAAAAAACTTCTAAGGTGAAGCAAAAAACGTTTTAAATTGCCATAGCAAGTGCTTGGATGGCTGTTGCAAAGATTTAGCACCTTGCAATTTTTAAAAGATATGGCTTTGAATTTCGGTAAAACGGCGTATCTGAGAACAAAGTAATGGCATAAACAAAGCATCGCATTTCCGATAAAATGTCAAATAGGGCCTTTTGAATTGATGGTTACGATATGCATGTAAGTATGTATGCAGTGGACATTAGGGCAGTCCAAAGAAAAGTAAAGTCGGAATTTTTAATGCTCTCCCACCGCGGGATTGTTGTATAACGAAAAGAATATACCCTTTTTTTATTTTGAAAAAAAAAAATTTTTTGGAGGTCGCTCAAAGCGCTCTAAGTTTTCCATGTATTTTATATGGGGAAAAAACTTTTCGTAGAAACGGAGAAGGCTCTAAATAATAGTACCCAATTGTTTATTTAACCATTTTTCCATAATAATTATATTTTACTAGTGAACCCGCATGGCGTCAAAGCGCCAACATTTTATTAAATTTTTTAAACAGGTGAAACCCTATTCAGAAACCTCTAAAAATATTCCTAATGATTAATCTAAACCATTTCTCAGTGATGAAAGGTCTCGCATGGTGTCGGTTTTCATTTCATCAAATTTCAAATGTCCCTCTAACTTAAAAAAAAATAAACCTGTGCACATCCATATGTAGAATCCCAGTTTTTTAATTTGACTTCTCATTTTAGAAATTCGAAATAACGGCGCAGATGTAGTGACCTTAAAAAAAAAGATGGCAACTCTAATTAAAAATATTATCAGCCTACAGTTTTCTTAAAACTCTTTCGTTTGACACTAATATTTCGATATTTTATGCATGTGTCTTTCATATAAGTAAAACAAATTCGACTTTCTAGCAGGTGGCAACCCCTTTAAAAGTATTTTCACACTAAAATCCTTCGCCTGGCATTGTTATACATATTTCAATTAACTGACGAATTAAGTTGAATTTAATTTTTTTAAGCACATTGCAACTCTCCTAAATACAGTTTAGAAATAAATTATTTTCAAACCATTTCGATTGATTCCCATCTTTTGACAATCCATTTAACTTATTAAATAATTTAAGCTTAATTCTTTCAACAAAACAACAAAAAACCAAATGTTCAATTTAAATATTTCTTAACACTCGTTCTTTTGACAACCATATTTTAAAATTTCATGTAACTTATGTATAATTTAACGAAATACCACTTTCAAAACAGGCGGCGACCGTCTTAACAATTATTTTAGAACTGAAATTTCCTTAAATAATTTTCGTCTGACATTGTTATAAATATTTCAAGTAACTGATGAATTAAATGGATTTTTTTTTAAACACGTGGCAACCCTCCTAAATATAGTTCTTAAATAGAGGATTTTAAACCCATTTCTATTCATAACCATCGGTTAGTAATTCCTTGAACTATTAAATAATTTTAGTTTAGCCCTTTAAACTGTGGCCACCCTCAAACACATCAAAAAAGTTCTAAATTGTCAAATTAAGTATTTCTTGAAGGTCTTTCATTTGACATCCATCGTTAATATTTCATATAACTTGGGTATAAAATAGTTCAATTAGACTTCTCAAATATGTGGCAACCCTATTCAAAATATTTCCAAAGTACTACCTTCTTAAACCTCTTTTGTATGACACCCATATAGCGATACCTTATTTACTTACCAAACCATTTCGATTGATACCCATATTTAATAATTGATTTAACTATTTAATTAATTCGAGCTTAATTTCTTAACAGGTGGCAACTTTTTTCGAAAAGGTAAAACCTTCTTGCACATCCACACCCTAAGGCCTTTAATTTGGTACCTCACTTTTGAAAATGGAACGGACGATGCGGATCTGAGGGCATTGATTAGTAAATAAATTGAGTTATTATTTAACAGGTGGCAACTCCTCTCGAAAAAATAAACCAGTTTGCACATCTACGGGCCAAGAGCTTTAGTTTGACACCCCATTTTTGAAAATTGAACGAACGGTGCAAATCTTTTATGCTGCCCAAAAAATGCCTTCGCGTATTGTATATCGACTGCTGAGTGGAAGATCGACCTATCTCAGCAGCCAGTTCGAAAACGCCCTATCTCAAATAACTTTTCAAGAACGCCCTATTTCAGAATTTTATTGAAAACACCCCATCTCAGAATTTAGTTGAAGAACGCCCTATCTCAGCTGAAAACGTATTGAAAATGTGATGAGATAGGGCGTTTTTGAATCCGCAGCTTGGATAGGGCGTTCTTCAACCAAATTCTGATATGGGCGTTCTTGAAAATTTTTTTGAGATAGGGTGTTTTGGAACTGGCTGCCGAGATCTTCCACTCAGCAGTCGATATATAGATAGGTTTGCTAAAAACCCCTGAAAATGCAATGAGGGCCCATACAAAATTATCTCCGAAAGATTTTGGAGAATGCCATACCATTTCCTCGAAAAATTATTTTTCCCCATATAAAATAGATGGAAAACCTTTGTGCGCTTTGACTGATCTCTACGCACAGAAGCGCGAATTCCACTATTAAGTGTAAGTAATGCAAACTAGGAACTAAAAATGAATCGAAGTAGTGGGGCTAGGAGCACAGAGTGATGTCTCGCAATTTGTCAAACTTCAAATTAATTTTAGACCAGTGTCAGGCAAAATACGTACGCACACATGAGCACTCTTAGTGCACATAGCATAGGCTACTAGCTGCCTGGCACTGTTTTAAACCCATGGTTTCTTTGGCAAATTTGCAAATACACCTACACGTAGAACCCTTCAGTGGTATACGCGCTTAGTTAAACAAAAATTGACCCGGCCTAATGTATGTACATAATACGTAACTTATCTCACTCACAGCACGTAATATGTATAAATGACTTTTAAAAATTTACGACTTTAGCTTTTGCTTGCTTGACGACTACACTGAGGTCCTGATGGATACATATGTACATACATATTAGGGATGCCATTTGAGGTCCCGAAAATTTGATTGCTTTAATCCCGGGATCCAGAAAAATTTTAAATATCGTATTGATAGTAAGAACTGGTTTATGAATTTGAAGTATGATTTTTGTAAAATGCTGTTTTGGCTACAATTAACGTGTAAGGGAGTGGAGGAGAAAGGGGTAATTATGTTTAAATAGCTTATGACTACCTTTTCACAGTTGTGCCTACAAGTGTTGAGGCCGAAAGATGTTTTTCATCAGCAGGCTTTGTAGTTATGTAACAACTTCAGGTCAAGATTAGAAGAATCCGCTTTGCTGTATATTTTAGGTGCAATAATAACAACACCACTATAAAAAAGGGTTGTGTGCTTTTAATCAGACCCACCTTCCAATATGAATTTCGACCCGCTGAATCCGATTCTGAGGTCCGTTTGGCTCGTACACCCTCAAAATTTCGAGTAAATTGGCAAGAAAAAGGGCAAAAAATTCGCCATTTCTTTATGGAGTAGAATAAACATGTTTATTGAATTTGTTTTTGTATCTATATTTTTTTATGTTTTTTTTTTTTTATTAATTATTACTTTCAAAAGTATCTGGTATTTACATTGTTATTTGTGATGTATGCGTTCCTCAATCACATGGTTTTTAAATTCAATTTAAAAAATGTATCACTTTAAGATTTGCCTGGATTAATAAATATGTGAGTTTTACAATCAGTTTATCATAAATTTTAAATAGTTTTATTTCATGGTATCTTTAAATGGTTTTAGTTATTGACTTTTTACTCATATACATAAAAGTTATGTCTCAATGTGAATAACTTAAAAAATATCCCGAAATTCCGTCATCACAATTTTCCGCATATTTTGGCATCCCTAATACATACATATTTATGTACGTATACATGTATTCCAAAACCGATGTCGATTGCCACATTGACCACTCTTCTATGCAGTTTGGATTCCATGGTGTGCCACGTTTTAGTTGCGTGTGAATACAGTTCAGTAAACTCATAAACTTAAGCGGCTGATATTTAAACAGTTGACTGTAGTTATAATACTGTGCACACGCACTTTAGAAGCCGGAGGGTGTGGGTTTATTAGATGATGGCGCTTTTGACATTGAAACTGGATGCGATACTTTGTGAGTGTGTGTTTGCATGCTTGTGAAATGATATGTGCGGTTGCAATGCACCAGTATTTAGTTTGTTAACATTTTTGAAAGTAGTAGTATCCCAGTCGGGAAAGTAGTAATGCATTTGATGGGTGATATATAATATAATGTGTTTCTTATGAGTTCTCGATAATATTACTGCTAACTATGTAATCAGCATTCTAATGTATTCAAAAAGTTCCAAAAATTTCATATTAAAACACATCCATTTCTCGATACTAGTGAATGCCCCACTTTTCTTAAGACATCGCCCTGGGGAAAAAAATGCATTTTCGAATGTGAAAGGGGGGTTGTTTTATTGATTATTTTTTCGATTACTATACATTACATTTTCCCGCTGGGTATTGTTGCAAACCTTTTTCATAATTTTTAATCTCGCCCGCTGGCATACCATGCAATAGTTCAATTTGCGCTTTCTGACAAATATTGCATGGAAGAGTTTTGTATTTACTGCTATTCACTGCATTTTTGAACCCTGTTCTTGTACCTTTGTCGCAGAGAAGAAAATACGTAATTTACAGATAGATATTAAATTGAAACCAACAATTAAATTCGAAGCTCTTTCTTGTTTAAATATTATACGTTGTGTTTTGGATTTTAAGAAATTTGTCGAATGTCAGGTTTGGTGTCTAGGTGGAAAACAGACCGGGGGTTAGAAATTGGAAAAAAGCTAGTCACGTACTATGGGTACGTTCCCTAAGCAGAGTGCACATACAAAAGAGCGGCGTGTCAAACGTGGCAATGCAATATATTTCGAAAAGGCTGTAAAATTAAGATATTTCAGAAAGCAGTTGCATGAGCAGTCAAACTTTGCATCTAAAGTGTCTTTCGAAAGAGGTTTTTTTAGATCCAAAAGGCGAATTGGAGATTGCTAGTGCAGTACGAGCAAGTTGAAATATATTTCCGAAATCGATTTGCGCTCTCTCAATTGCAGTCACATCTTACAACTTTCATTTCTGAAACTGCTTTCCGATATGTGGCTGTTCACACATCGAAATAAAATTTCTCTTATTAATTTATTTATTTTAATTGCATTACTAGTTTGTTATTTTTGACTATTTTCCATTAATTTTATTTATTTTTTAATAACATAATTATTTAATTATTTTTGATTTGTTTTAATTGCATGATAATATAATTATTTGATTATTTTAATTATTTTTTGGTTTTCATTTTCAATTTTATGATTTATTTCAACAAACATGTCATGAGAATCAATACAGTAACATAAGATAAATGCACAAGGAGAATAACAAAAACGCGGCCAATATGCATACCTATGCCTATATGTAAGATCTGCCCCAATGTGCCCTCTACAAAATTCTTTCTGAAAATGAATAGCAAAGACCGCTAACAATGTCTGTAAGAAATCATTCTCAGTCTTGGAAACTACAGTACAAATATTTAGACGTACAGTGAATTTGGTTTCAATTATTTAATACTAACTTATGAAAATTTGCCTGGCAAACACAGCTTTATCTATTCGGAAAAATAATCCTATAATTAGAAATAATGTAATAATTAAAAACCAACAAATAATTAAAAAAAAATATTTGATTAAATTTAATTATTTGATTATTTTTTAATGGTAATTAATCATAATTCTGTTTTTATGATTTTTAATTATAACTAATTATTAATTGCTGGGTTATTGAAGGAAATTAAAATAATTATTAAAATTAAAAATTAAAAAAAAATTGTATTTTTTCTTTTAAGTGTTTGTTTTTTCAAGTTTTTATATACGAGGTATAAAAATATGCATACCGGAAGAAAGGAATTTAATCACCTTTACAACGATACCGATTTTTTGAAAATCAGTTCAAATTTTGTTTAAATGTAAGGTTTTAATTTTTCGAAGATCCTTACTCCTTACAGCACCTGTAATATAAGTTTGCAAAAGAAAAGTTATATAACGTTTAAATGAAAGTATATAGAGTCTATAGTTTGACTTTTTTAGTTGTTTACATACAATAATTTTTTACTAAAGGTCCTATTTCGAAATTCGAAGGCCAATTTCTCGATATCGGAGGTTGACTTCGAAAAACGGAGAAATTATTTTTTAGTTATGACTCAATCTCTTAAAAATTGGTTTGGTCCAATACCCAGCAAAAAAAATTGATTTTGCCGTATAGTGTTATATCTAGAACACTCTACTCTGTGACTGCCAAAATGTACAGATCTGTACAAATGTACAAATCGTGTGATCCCTGCGTTAGTCGAAATAATATAATACAACTGTTTTACTTTGTGTTGGATACACATACATACATATGTACAGTATTGTGCAAAACAAAGCTATAAATTTAGTAAAAGCTACAAATTTGGTAAAATAAGTTATTGATGTATTTCTTTCAATAAATAGTTTTAAGAATTTTATGATTAATTTTTAAATGCCCAGAAGTTCGAAAAAATAAATATGTTTCAATTACTACTTCTTCTCGAAAAAAATTATTGAGACGGTACTCGGTTGGTGTGCAAAACTAAAGCATCATCTCAATAGCTTTTATAAGAGCTTTAGTTTTTATAAACCTCTGTGAATTTTTAGAGGTATTGAGGATAGTAAATTTTCTTTAGAATATTCTAGACAGAGAACGTAATTTTTAAACGTTCTCTGACGAGAGTAATCAAGATTCGGTTCCTAAACGAGCCTTTGTTATAAAAGGTTCGACTACTGCAGCTTTAAAATAAACTTATCTTTGCCTGGCCAAGACTCAGTATGCCGCTAAAAAATTTATAGTATAAATATGCTGCGGTTAAAATTTAAGAAGCGCTAGCTGTCAACACGCCATGAAAACTATGCAACGGTAAACTCGTTACTTTATATTGTCATAAACATAAAAACACTAAGAGAAAAATTGTATTCTAAAAACACGTCCGAATAAGATAAAATTTCTATTTTTCGTTCTTAAAATGCTTACAGTCTTATGCCGAATTTCCACATGGAAGCGAATGTCATTACAGATGGTTTTTCTTACCGTAATTGAGTAGGTATTTTTTAGTGCCCAACTTTTTCATCAAAATTTATGTAATTTAATGCCTAGTGGAAATACGGCATTAGGGTAAGTTTTTCAGTGCACGGTTAAATCTGACTGTGGTTCAAACTTAGTTTGAATGCTCAAGGCAGCTGGTTTAAGGTAATATTAGCCCATCAAATGTCAGCCAGCTGTTACATATGCACATAAATTTAAACGCAGTTTACGTGATCTAAGTTTAAACTGGCACTGAAAAACTGGACCTTAAACGTTCTATAAATATCAATAATCATGAAAGTGAAATTTATGGTCTCGCAGGAATTCTTGATATAAGATTTTCGGAGTTACCGTACTTTTGTGACCGCAATTCTAGATTTGGGTTTAATTCAAGTATACAATCTTTTTGTTTCGAAGTGTAAAAACATACATATATGTATATATACATATATGTTTGCATAAGTATGAGTATGCCCTCCTCGTTGTTAATATTTTTATGGGAAAATCCAATATTTCAGCGTGCTTGGTATTTTCGAAAATGTATGTTTGTAGGTACGCTATTGAAACAGGTGAACAGTACAACAATTGAACAGTTAATTGTTGGCATTTGGAGTGTTAACACCTGCTTCCTTTCGCGGCATTGTCTGGTTAATATTTTGTTTGTTATGTTAGCCAGGCAATTTGAAAGTGAGTAATTGTCGAATACAGCTTGTCTGCAAGTACAAATACTAAAATATTAGGGTGCATCACTCTCTATACAAAAAATAAAAAATAAAAAAATTGGTTCCTACTGGTTTTCCATGGGATTTATAAAAATTATTATATTTTTATTTCAGAAAAATATTAAGATTTACGTGAGCTGGACCCATTTGAAATTGTCTCCAAATACCGAGATTTTTTTTTAAATAAAAGTAGATTTTGAAATATCTTTTTTTAAATTTCACCTCAGAAAAATTTAAGCTTAAAAGGTCTGCATAAAAAGTTTTAAAAATTTTGTCACACGGAATCAAAATATGTAATTAGATTTATGGAGATATTTCCAAATCGGTCTAGCTCACGTATGTTATTCTGAATATTTCTACTAAATAATTTGACGGGAATCTTAATACATATATGTAAAGTTTTTTTTTTTGGTGATGCACCCTAATGAATGTGTCTACACAAATGCATACATACATACTTACATATATACGAATATATAAAGTAAACTCGCTGAAGGACATTCGTGCTTAATGGCACCATTTTTATTGTTGTCTAATTAAATATGCCTACTTATTTTTTATTAATGTGTCTTTCTCATATTTTTATTTTACTTAAGGATCCGTTGAGTTAACAACCGTATTGGGTGCGCTTTTTGGCGTCGTCGCTTTGATGTTTTTGTTCTTTCTTTATGTACATCGCAAATGGTGCTTTCATGCTCGTCACGGTCTACATTGTTGCGATGAGAAGATAATTGCATCAAAATATTCGCAAAAGATGTGTAAGTGTGCGTATGTAAATAATTGTAATTTATAATTAAGTAGAAGGAGAAACCATTTTTCAGTGTTTGTAGTATATATTGTTTAATTTTTCAATACAGGGCTCTTCTTTTTTTTAACTTTTGATATTTCGATTACGGAATAAATCGGTGAGAATCGGCTTAAATGTTTCAATCGATAGACTCCATGTTTCCGTGGTCCAATTGTAGAAGGACGCATATCTAGGTGTGCGTCTGAGCGAGGGGAAGGTTTATAGCTAGGTTTAAAAAGGAGTTGCTACCTGTTTAAATTAAAATGTCAAATAACAAAAGGTGTAAGAGAGCTCATTTAAAAATATATTTTACTCAATTAAGTTCAATAACTTAATACAATATGGGTATCAATCGAAATGGTTCTGAAAAAATCTCTATTTCTAAATTACATGATTCGTCTCTCCTGAGCAATTTCAAAAGGCGACTTGGCACCTTTTCGCTTTTACAAAAAAAAATAAAAAAAAACTGTTTTTTACTAACTGAGATCGCCCCTTAGCAGGCAATACGATGGCATGAGAAACCTTCTTATAAAAAATGTATTCCAAAATACGAAGAAGAAATTTAATCATTCGGCCACTTTTTGAACAAACAAGGGTTTTTCACCGAAAACCTGTACAATTTTTTAAATACAAATAGTCTCGTTAAGTCTCCAAATATCTCATCTCTTCCAAATAATAGGCTTTCCCAAGAAGTGTATCACGACATGTTACTCCGTTATCTACCAATATATCTAGTTGATTGCATTGAATCCCATGAAAAAAAAACACTAGTTAAGCCCTACGCCGCGCTTCTCCTCCGAATTGTGGTATGCGCCTTTATGTTGTCACGCAAATGGGGGACCTATAAATTTATGGCCTTATTCATAAAAAATAAAGTACCTTTAAACAAGGTTCATAAACTGAAAAATGTATGAAACTGTCATTTTATAAAACTCTTTAAACCATAAAAGAGTTAGTCTGACGAGGGTCGAAAGCTATTAGAAGCTACTTTTTCTTTGAATAAGTGCATTTACTTTAGATACATTTTTTTTTTTTCTTTTTGATTCTTTAAGCACGTAAACGTCGCTATGATAATACCAGTTCTGATTCCGAGGAGGATATATTGCGCCGCTTACGCTTGCAACAGTCACGCAATCTTTCAGCAAATGGCCACTTCAACAGCTACGGTGTCCATCAGCAGCAGCAGTCTTCGTATCAGCCACCGTCACCGCCAAATCCGCAACAGAGCTTCAATTATACACCGACTGAATTGCAACGCGTTACGATAACGCCACGCTTCGATTCGTCCCGCGATCCCTTGGCCATAGCGGAACGCGGCAAAGTTGGTATTCCGTCCTCGCATAGTGAGTGCAGTTCAAATGATTCCGAGAAAGCATCCGTTGACAGTCATACGGGCATATTGACCGGCGATAGGAAAGGTTAGTTTCTTAGGTAATCTAAAACAACAACAAAAAATAATAATTGACTTTCAATTGGATTTGCAGAGCGCTTTCCGAGCAATGGTGGTACGAATAAATCGAGCGAGTGCAGCGCTTCATCTTCCCTGAAGGAGTCGCGTATTGACAATCGGGCTGATTTGTTAAAGTCCAGCAGTAATAGCAGTAGCAGCAGATATCAGAAGATCTCGACGTCGTCTGTGCGTCAAGACAGTTTAGATGATGTGCCTGATTTGCATAGCAATAATAATAATAACAATAATAACAACACCAGTAATAATAATAATGAAGACGTAAGTGTGACAAATGCTATTTTAAAGAAATACTTTTTTATTTTATTTATACTATTTTTTACTTATTGTTTTAGGAGCCACTCTTCGATACCAGCGATTTGCGTTCCATCAAATCGGACGATACTTCCGTGCAGAACCAATTCTATGGTAAAAGTGGTAGTATCGAGATTTCATTGCTGTACGATGCACCGATGCGCAAAATGACAGTGCACGTGATGCAAGCCCGAGGCCTACCCACTTTGGGCAATGGACAGACGACGCATACGCAGGTTTGTTAAAATCTGAAAATAAATGAAGAGCTTTTCGTATAAGGTAGAGCAGGAGGCTGTAATTTTATGCATTTGATAAAGTCTATACAATTAAAAACTCGTTACTTTCGTAACTCTCTTTGCTACTCATCTACGACGCGTGCCGGGTTATAGAGCTTGCATATAATATTTGTCCACAAAACTATCAAAGCTTTCTCATCTTCCTCAGACATCATTCATTAGTTTGCACCTTACAAAGAAAGGGCATGTATAAAGATTTGTATTCTGTGAGCCCATAGTAGCAACTGTTTTAAAGAATTATTCTTATTCTTTCGATCTCCTGTCTGACATTATTGGTGGTGTTGATGCCGGATCTTAGGCATACAAAGTCCTTAACAATTTCCAATTTTATATATCGATGGCTGAGTTGAAGATCGACCTATCTCGGCAGTTAGTTCGAAAACGCCCTATTTCAGACAATTTTTCAACAACGCTATTTAGAATTTGATTGAAAAACACCCTGTCTTATAATTCGGTTAAAAAGCGCCCTTTCTCAGTACATTTTCAATGTATATTTTTTGAGATAGGGCATTTTTGAACCGAATTCTGAGATAGGGCGTTCAACCAAATTCTGAGATAAGGTGTTTTTCAATAAAATTCTGAAATAGGGCGTTCCTCAATCAAGTAGGTCTAAATTAGGTCGTTCTTGAATGTTTTCTGAGATAGGGCGTTTTCGAACTGGCTGCCGAGATAGGTCGATCTTCCACTAAGCAAAGTGTTATGTAATTGCTCACAAAGACATGAAGACTCTTTGTCTGCTATTGGCAGAATTGGCTATTTGTCTTGTCCATGTTATCCACTCTTTAGTAATTTTTCTGCGCTGACGACTGTGAGGTTGAGAACAATAACTTTTTTCGCTGAAAAATATGCTTTTGAAATTTCCAACCTGATGTTGATTGAAGAAGCCGCCCACCATTTTCCTGCAGAGGAACTATTAAGTCCAGGAGACTGGATTTGCTGATTTGACTCGATCGAACCAAAGAGATATATTAACCAATCTGTGACTTTAAGCGGGAAGATGAAGAGGCAGCTGTTGCCGTCTGAGGCGCTTTCACAAGTCGGAAACGCATTAGATGTGTTGATGGCGAGTCTGGATAAGTAGGTGTTTAATCCGGTACAGTTCCAGGCGTCAATAGCATCAAAGTCAGGCTGAACTCCGGTGGCGGCATTTACTGGGCGATAGTTGGTGATTGTCTCTCGTTGAATATCGGCAACATACCGTACAACTACGTGTCTAGTGGTTGAGCGTTGATAGTCTGGATCTGGTTTGGGAGTTCGTAAAGATTCCTTCGGACGTGCGTAGGTAACTCTGATTCCAGAAATAGTATATTCTGCTGTGTGGAAAAGAGCAGATCAGCTGAAGTAACGACTGTTGCCAACAATCGTTGCTTGAGCTCATCTGCTCTTTTGCCAGAGTGCCAGGCCACTTGCTCAATTCGGTGAATACCACTAATGCCAATGCACGTGGTGTGCAGTACTGCTTGCGGTCTTACGGAAGCGGTTCATGAACTTATGACACTAATCGATGAAATAAATAGTAACTGAAGAAAAAGGGTTCCTCTTAGGAATTTCCCTCTTAGGGATTTCAATCCGCTTAGATACCTATAAATTTCTATGGGCATACACCTAAACAACAGGCTAAATATTTGTGGTGCACTAGAAATAAGTTTTAGCTTGTGTCACCTTATTTGGAATTACAATCTACTAGCGAAGAAATTCCGATGCTTTGTAGTTTTACATAAATGAACACACCCAAATTTTTGATTAATTGTACTATATGTATATTTGCAGGTCCGCCTTCTTATGTTGCCAAATAAGAAGCAAAAGCATAAGACTAAAATTCGTTCGGGCGAAAATCCTCAATATATGGAAAGTTTTCTGCTGCATCGTGTTAACCCAGAAGAAGTTAACAATATGGGTCTGCGCGTACGAATATACGGTTGCGAACGTTTACGCAAAGAACGTCTCATCGGAGAGGCGTACGTTAGTTTTGCCACAATAGATTTGGAATTGGAGACAAATCTCTGGCTACCGTTGGAGCCACGAAGCACATCTTCTGTAATATAAATTTGTTTATTAAACGATTTAATTTTTTTTTTTACTCAATTTCTTTTCATATCTCAGGTTTTGGGTTCCAATAGTGATTTGTTAAGTCTGGCGAGATCAGACAGCGCCGGTTCGACCACCTCGATGCAACATGGTGGCGTGCCAGAATTGCTCTTAGGTTTAGGTTATAACGGTGTTACGGGGCGTTTATCAGTGGAAATTGTCAAGGGTAGTCATTTTCGTAGTTTATCAATGAATAAGGCGCCCGACACTTATGTTAAGCTATGTTTAGTTAGTAGTATAGGTCAGGAGATATCGCGAGCGAAAACATCAACGAGACGCGGCCAACCACATCCGCTATTTAAGGAGACCTTCGTCTTTCAAGTACGTAATGCAAGCGTATACTCGTAGCTTAAATTAATTTTGAAGAATTACTAAGTAAATCTATTTCATTTTATCCAACTTAGGTGGCACTTTTCCAGTTGAACGATGTGACGCTGATGGTTTCCGTTTATGCCAAACGTAATATGAAAAAGAATGAAATGGTCGGTTGGTTTAGTTTAGGATTAAACTCATCCGGACCGGAGGAAGTGGCGCATTGGGCGGATGTACGCGATTTGGCAAAAGGTGAATTATTGGCGCGATGGCATGTGCTGGTGGACTCCTGATTCGAGCAGTTGGGACAATCTTCTCGACGCAGTAGTGCCCTAAGTATTTTGGGCTTTGTGACGAAAGATAAGTCCAAATCGAAGAAGCTGAAAGAGGAAGAAGAAGAGGACGGAGAGGAAGAGGGAGATGAGGATGACAGTATTACAACGGATAGAGCGGTAGCTGTCAATATTGAAGCCGGCTTGGAACTTGACTTTGTTTAGAAAATTGGATTTAACCAAACGACTTTTTTGTAAATGTAAACAACAACAAATGGCATTTGTGTGTGAGTTTACGAAATGTAAAAAAAAAACAAAACAAATTTGTAAAAGCGAAGTAGTTTTCTGTACTAATGTGACAGAAACCGAAAAACGCTAAAACGAGAATTTAACATTAGTACTGTCACTCTAAATTATAAATGAGAAAAAAAATTGGGGAAAACAAAATAAAAATAAACATACATACATACTTCATGCATGTAAAGTAAAACAAATATGTCACTTAACTAGTAAACAAATTACGCACATTACAGATTTTGGTAGCGAAGTAACTAAAAGAAACAAATATGAAACGAGAAACTTGTAACCTGATAATTACTATAAATAAAATTTAATTGAATTTAACTGGATTTTCATATAAATGCTTTTAAGAAGAAAACAATTTTAAGAACTGAAGAAAAGAATTTGTTGTTTTGTGAAGGTTTTTTGATCGATTGATTAGTATAAATGTATGTATTTAGAATTTTGTGATACACGAATGGGTATTAATTTTGACGCTCGACTTTGTGCGCTAAAAGAATTTGATTAAGTTGGAAAATTTAAGCTGAGAATATCGATAAACGAATGCTGTTATGTATTAACAAATCGTCGCTTGTCTAAAGCAAATATATGTACGTATTAAGCTTCTTAACAATCGAAATTTCTGTTGGAGCTTCGATTTTTCGAAAAATCAGAAATTTTAGTGAGATTTTATTATTGGACTCCATGAGTTGTCAGCGTAAGTGGAATGCAAAAAATTTAATACTTTAAATTTAATGAAACAATTTAGCAAGATTTAATGAAACATAAAACAAACAAAAATGGCTAATATAGCATATCAAACGATTAAGTTAATTGTAATTTTACGTAATTTAATATTTATATTGACGTACCGTACGATATATCTATGTATGTTTGCTTTTATTCAATAAGTAATACATGTACATACATATACTATGAATGTTAGAAAATATTATTTGAAATGCCTTAAAAATACTCGTACAACTGATTAATATATGTTTAAGAACAAAAAATGTTTTTTTTTTTGATTTGCGCTAAATATTTTTACCCACTTGCAAACTAGTTAATTGAGCTATTCTCCAAGCTTTTTCAATTATGCGGCTAATGTAGCTCGATTTACCGTAACGAAATTTAACACTTAATTGTTCGAGTAGTGCTTAATTGAATGTGAATCGAGTCGAAATTTCGACCGGCCGTCTTCACGAGATGCCATACAAGAATTACGAAGCGTACTTTTTCTCGCATACCGAGCGGTTTGCGGGCTCTCGCTTGCTTTCAGCTGTCATTTTTGTCTTTGGACAGCTATTTTCTTATTTAGCAGAATTCTTTAGAGTAGCATCTTCGTCTGTTTTGGTGGAAAATGCAAATTTAGCCTGCAAGGCTCGAACCCAACCAAAACCTATCTCGCTGGCGAAGAAAAAGCAGAACGCAAGCGAGATTTTCAAGCTCGTGAAGACGGCCGGTAAGGTACGTTCGATTTTAGTTTTGGGGCCAATTTTGTAAGCAAATGCCTCTCAGCAGTTTGTCTCAGGCATAAGCAAATGGCAGCGGAACATGTTAACTGAAATTAGATAAATTTACCTTAAAATTAAATATGTGTGTATGTATATACATTAAGGTGCATCACACTTCATACAAAAAAAAAAAAAAAAATCGGTACATTTTTCCCATCATAATTATAAAATTTTCATATTTATTTTAAGACTTTCGCCAAAATGCTTCGGAAAAATATTGAGATTTACGTGAGCAGAACCGATTTGAAAAAAACATTAAAAATTTTCGTTGTTTTGATTGTATGTATTGCTTCAATTTTTATGCAGGCTATGTGTAAATTAATGCTGTTTTTCAACAAAATTTTTTCATTAGAAGTGGCCTCAAGCCCAATATAATTGTTTAACATACATAATTGTTACAACTTTATTAATAACAAAAGCCTACCCTTAAAGCTGAAACTTTTGTGTTAGGTAATTTTTTGGAAAACATATTTTCTAAACTAATTTTGTTAAACAAACTCCTATTATTTTTCTTAAATATTTTGGCAGTGGTCTTAATATACATATACTAAATTTTATGATTCCACTGGAAAAACCGCAACGTTTTTTGGTGCGGCACCCTTATGTACATTAGAATGGTCCAAATTTTGTTTGGGGGAAAAATGACATCGTAGAAAACGGAGGAGGTGCCTTGGTTTTTTTTTTCTCTTGGTATTTGTAATATCTATACCAACTTTAAATTTTCTATTGTAACCAATACAGGGTGCTCAATGACCTTGAAACGCGGATGGATTTGCAAAAGTTAGCTCGTATTTTTATTTTATGTCCTACTAAAGCTTTCACATCCCGGGCTAAGTAGTTTTAAAAAAGTTCAAAATTTTGTTAAAATAAATGTCTGAGCGAAATAAAAGGTTAAGACATACATATGTGCAATTATAGTAAAATTTGATGGGAATTATTTTCGTAGAACATGTTAACCAATTAGCTCCCACATGAGAGAGATGTTTTGAGCCTTTCTGTAAGAGACCCCTCACAAAGCGAATTTAGAAGTTCGTTAGAGGATTGACATGTTCTAGAAAGTTATTCTTCCTAAAATTTATGAACTAAATTATAATAGAAATATTAACAGAAAATTTGTCCAAATTGTCAAATAGTTAATGACAAGAATTACGGTGAGGTAAGAATTTTTTATGAATCTTATTTGAGACAGTGTGACAAAAGGTATTTAGGAAGTAAAACTGACAAGGGCAAGAAATAGCAATAGAAATATTGTAAATTTAAAAATGGAGGTATGAATTTATCAAACATAATCTTTGAAAATTACTTAAAAATAAACTACTAGCGTACATTCATAATAAATTATGATTGTATGTATGTATGTGTGTAGGTACATATACGTACAATATAAAAATAGCCAACGTAAAAAACAAAAACAAAACAATATCTAGACCGCAAAGCATCTAAGGGCCGAATTCACAGTGCAAAGTAAAACTTTTCTTAACCTAAGCACTAACAAGAGTTTAGCTATGAATTGAGATCATGAGAGCCTGGGGGGCCTATCTATAATGTTATACCGTTTCGATCCCATTAATGCATTTTACGCTGTATCGTATTTTTTTTTTTAATGCCAGTTAGGCTACTCTGGCTCTGTAACCCCAATTCATATTCACAGTCGCATAGTTGGCTGTGGATATTCATATCGCTTGAAACTATACAACTTCGAAAAATCAATTCGGGTACTCCCAATGGCGTTGTAAGTGTCGTGTTGTTGTCTGCAGTAAACCTTAAAAGCTGAAGTAAATGTTTAGAGATCTTGAAACCGCAATCATCTATTTTTTAACACTGTGAAAATTCATAATTCATAATATTTTTAGCCGTTTACAGTTTACGACATATAGCACTTACGTCACCGTTGTGAATACCCCAAATTTTTTTTTTTATACAAGTGTAAATTTTGTTAAACAAAAAAATTTAATTTAGCAAGAATTTAACTACTTAACTTCTTATTAACTGAGCACTGTAAATATGAAAATGGATAGTTAAACTACGCACTACGGCGGTTAACTACGCACTGTGAACTCGGCTCTCGGTTGTAAAATTTAATTTAATTGTATGCAGGAGAAATTAAAATAAAGAAATCAAATACTACTTACGTATTTATTTTATTTGTTAAAAAAAAAAACAAGATTATTAACACATACATACGAGTATATTCCCAAGAGACTTAACAAAATATTAAAAAACAAAAAATGCTAGTTTAATAACTTTTTTATACCGCATACACTAATCTAAACCAAAAAGTAAATTAAGAAATAAATATTTTGCAAAAAAACCTAAATATCAATTTATAATTATTAAATAAATGAAACGAGTACATACTTGCCTCTGTATAAGTGCACGTGCGTACATACATATGTACTCATGAAAATACATATGATAAATCCCTGCAAAAATCGTTGTATCATGTGGTCCATTTGCGGCTTATTGGAGTACTTATAAAATAAATGCTCCTTGGTAATGCAGCAGCGGCCAACTTGTTATTAGAATTTTGCCACAGAAAAGTTCAGTTCACTTTAATGAACGAACTAATGAACTAGTTCAATTAAAAGAGCTGTCTCATTCGCAATTTGGTTCAAAAGCTCCCCAAGCCCAGTGTTGAGTAATCCCTTGGAGGAGTTTTGTGCTACACTGTTGCAATGCAGAGCTGGAGTATTTTTGTATGCATTTCGGTTAAATTTGAAGTATTCCTCAACCCTTAGGGAATACTCATTACATGCGTGCTTGGAGTTGATGCGATTTTTGCAAGGAGCGTGCATAAAAATTTGTGCTTTAGGGTGGTCCTTAAAATATCAACTTTTAAATTTTTACGGGGCACTCCTTTATTTTGTTGTACGTACAAAATAAAGATATCCACGAAAGTTTCAGAATTTCAAACAAATTTTTAAGGATCGCTACCAGGGTTTGAAAAAATTTACATTTTTACGTCGCTAAAATTCGACAAAGTAAACTCGGTCAAAATCGAAAATTTGGTCGAATTTTTGTGATTTAAAAATTAAAATTTTTCAAATCCTGGTAGCGACCCCTAAAAACTTGTTTAAAATTTTGAAATTTTCGTGGATATATTTATTGTGTGAGTACAACAAAATAGAGGGGTGGCTCATGATGTTAATATTATTAAGGACCACCATATGTATGTATGTATTAGCTACAAATCTTATTGTGCAACTTTTTATAAAATTTGATTGTAAC